GAAGGGAGGGAGGGAGGGAGGGAGGGAATGAAGGAAAGGGGAAAAGAAAGGGGAAGGGGAAGGGAAGGTTGAGGTCCCCAAATCTAACCATATATTTACTTACCATTCTGAATCTGAGCCACTTTCTTTGAAATCTCTCCAATGATCTGTGAAAAAAAATAAAGGTACATTTTCATGACTTTTAAATATGTCTAAAAGCACAGGAAAACCATACTTCAAAACTAATAAAAACACTACTGAGTGTAATGGTGCATACCTCTAGTACCACCACTAGTCCCCAAATCTAACCATATATTTACTTACCATTCTGAATCTGAGCCACTTTCTTTGAAATCTCTCCAATGATCTGTGAAAAAAAATAAAGGTACATTTTCATGACTTTTAAATATGTCTAAAAGCACAGGAAAACCATACTTCAAAACTAATAAAAACACTACTGAGTGTAATGGTGCATACCTCTAGTACCACCACTAGGAAAGCAGAGGCAGGCAGATCTCTGTGAGTTCCAGGCCAGCCAAGGCTACATAGTGAGACCTTGTCTCAAAAACAAAAACATAAAACAAAGCTCTTAGAATTATAGCTTAAGAGTCAATGAGAAGCCAGACACAGTGGCACAGTCTTTAATCCCAGCAGTTGGAAGGCATGCAGGATCCTTGTCAGATGGAGGCCAGCCTGATCTACGCAGAGTTCCAGACCAGTCTCAAAAAAAAAAAAAAAAAAAAAAAAAAAAAAAAAAAAAACCCTAGAGGGAGGGCTAAAAGGTCAAGAGAACTGGCTACTTTTGAAGAGGGCCTGGGTTTGATTCCCAGCACCCACATGGCTGCTAACAACCATCTGTAACTCCAGGTCCAGGGGATCCAACACCTTCTTCTGACCTCCTTGGGCACTGCACAACACGGGTGCACTTACATACATGCAGGCAATACATTCATACACATAAAACAAAATAAAGTTTAAAACACACAAACAATAAACCAGTCATTGAAATAAAAAGAAGCAGAGATTTGCTACCTATATTGAGATCAGATTTACCAGAACGAACCTGTCGTCTCCATTTCTCAGCTTTGGGCAACTCGGTACATTCCGAAGCAAGGAAGGGTCTTCGTTCCTAAGGAGAAACAGAGTAGCACATGTTGCCAATAGGCTCGTTATACACTTAAGTAACACAACTGAGTAACATAACAGCTGAGTCAGACCTGAAACCTAAACTGTCTAATGGTCTAAACATACCTGAAGTTACAGCTCCAGAGGACACTCATCAAGGCCTAAGTCCCACTCTACAACCCTCCTTATGAAACAACTATACAAACACAAATATGTAATGAATTATGGGTAGTGCAGTAAATACTGCAGACACCTAAATGCTCAATTATGCAAAGAGGACTAAAAAACTAAGTTATACCTATTTCATGGCATATTTACACTACCTCAAGAAATTATGGCTATGTTTAAAATAAACATATAAACATAGATATGCATGTATATACACACGTATATGAAATTTTTTCTAAACAAAGAAAAATATCCAGAAGTTGATATATAGTACACCTAAGTTGGTTATGTCTCCATAAATTGAGATTATTTACAGGTTTCAGCATAACACCTGTCCCCGACATCACATGCCACCTTCTTTTACTCATTATTAGAGCCGGGATAATAAGGGAACCAATTCATCACCAGATAAAAAAATGGAAAAAGCCGGACACCTTTAATCCCAGCACTTGGGAGGCAGAGGCAGGGGGATCTTTGTGAGTTCGAGGCCAGCCTGGTCTACATAGTGAGTTCCAGGACAGCTGGGGCTACAGGGAGGTCCTGTCTCAAAAACACAAAAAAAAAAAAAAAAAAAAAAAAGGAAAAAGCAGCAGCCAGATAACCACACTGCCCCAGCAGCAAGGAGGGCTACTACCAGGTCACCTGCACAAACTCTTCAGCAAATACAGACAGAAGATATGGTTTGAAGCCTATCCAATGAAGTCTACTGCATCTGCTCTTGATAATTTACAGAGAATGAGAGTCCACTAACCTTCACTTTTCCCTCTTCTAGTTGAGCTTGGCGAAATCTTGCAAGGGCTGTCCTACCAGGAATAGAGAAGACTCGGTTAGATCCTATTCACAGATTTACCACCCAAGTTACTGGTCAGGGTAGATCAAGTTCATGATCACATTTAATGTTATTCACGTAACAACAATGAAGAAACCACAGTGGAAAAGAATTTCCATGTTCCAAGGGGGTAGGCCTTTAAGGGGTGCTCCTGAACACCCAAGTATCTATTTTATTTATACTGCATATAAAGACTGTGGGAAATTGTATTTCTCAGGCCATGATAAACAACATATAGAGATGCTAAAAGATACTCTTGCTACAATCCCAATACCATCCACAGGTTAAAAAACTGTTCATCTGAGGCCAGGCGTGGTGGCGCATGCCTTTTATCCCAACACTTGGGAGGCAAAAAGACAAAAAGAAAAAAAAAAAAATGTTCATCCAGTATAAAGCCTGGAAGCGATCAGAAAACACTAATGAGGAAAAACAAATATATGTAAAGATGGAAATGCTATTTTAACACATGGAAAGAAGAAACTGTTTCTCAAAAGACTCCTACCAAAAAGACCATACACAAGTTCTTGATAACAATTTATAAAATTTTCAGCACCAAATAAGATGATACTTACATGGCCTTTTCTGCATTTCGGGCCTAGGAAAGAAACAAGAGAAGAAAAATGTTCAAGTTTAGAGTACTTCCCCTCCCATCCCCCAGGGTGAGTGAAAATGGTGATACATGCTTTTGGGGGGGGGGTGTTTGAGACAAGGTCTTCCTGTAGCCACAGCTGGCCAGGAACTTACTATGTAGACCAGGCTGGCCTCATTCTCACAGAGATCTGCCTGCCTCTGCCTCCCGAGTCCTGGATTAAAGGCCTGCACCACCATGCCCTGGCCCATACACGTCTATATATTTTTTTAATTTTTACTTTCATTTATGTGTATGAATATATGCCAAATGCACAGTGTCTGTGGAGACCAGAAGAGGGTACTGGAATCCCCCAAAACAGGAGTTACAGGCAACTGTGAGCCTCCTGATGTAGGTACTGGCAACTAAACCCAGGTTCTCTGCAAGAGCAGTAAGCACTCATAACTGATGAGTCCCTAGAATATCTTTTTTTTAGCAGTGACATCTATTATTTTTTAATTCTTTTACAGGGTCTCCCTGTAGCCCCAGCTATCCTGGAACTCACTATGTAGACCAGGATGGCCATGAACTCACAGAGATCCTCCTGCCTCTGCCTCCCAAGTGCTGGGATTAAAGGTGTTCTTTTTAAAAAGTAATTATTGGGACAGGGGTGGGGGAGAGCAACTAAGAGCAATGTCTGCTCTGGCAGAGGACCCGGGTTCAGTTCTCAGCATCCACATGGCTAATAATCATCCGTAACTCCAGTTCCAGGGGATTCCACTCCCTCTTCTTGCCTCCACAGGTTTTGCATGACATGGGTACATTTATAAACATACAGGCAAAACCCTCATACACATAAAAAATCATTTATTTTTGATAATTACATTCATGAATACACTGTACTGTGTTCATATTCACCATTAACCTCTCCTCTCCCTCTTCCACTCTTGCTGGGATAACAGACAGGCAACACCATGCTCCACTCTATCTTTTTTTAAATTACATTTATTTGCAATTTAAATGTATAGAAGGGCACATGTATGAAGGCCAGAGGACAACTTGAAGGAGTTGGATTTCTTCTTCCACCATATGTACCCCAAGAATCAGACTCAGACAGGAAGGTTTGGCAGCAAATGGTTTTACTGATTGAGTCCTCTCACCTGCCCCAGCTCCGCCTGTTAATGAACTTTATTAAAAAAATATTTTATTTATTTTTATTTTATGTGTATGAGTGTACTACCTGCACGTATAGGAGTGCACCTGTGTCGTGCAATGCCGCAGCAGCAGTCAGAAGAGGGCTTCTGATTCCCCTGGAGTTAAGGACGGTTCGTAGCCACCATGTGGGTGCTGGGAATCAAATCCGGGTCCTCTACAAGAGCAGTCAGTGCTCCTAACCACTGACCCATCTCTCCAGCCCCCATAAATAATTATTTTAAATTTTAAAATGTGATAATGGTTTTTCTTCTGCTTGGTATTGTGAAGCACCCCAGGCTGTCAAGAAGACCTGAATACTTGAATCAATTTCCATATTTTCCATATATACATATTTACACAGCTATCTATATACTTACACCTATTCCATAAACATACCCTTAGTGTGTAAATATGTAGTAAAATAGGCTGTTTTTGTGGGTAAGGCGATGCAGATCTCAACCTTGCAGTACTGACCTCGGGGATAAAAACAAACCTCGGTGGTGTAAAGGCTGCTTCACATACTCTCAGGGGAGACTTTCCTTTGAAAATAGTACAGTAACCTAGGCCCTTGTGCCAACACTACAGGTGCAGTCTCAAAGCTAGACATTAAGTGCTTCTTCAGCCAATGACCGAGGATCACAACCTCGCACACGTCGGCCCACACTACACATTCACTGGGGTGCCGGCACGCCTCCCTCCCGCAGCCCACGCGCAACGTGCCAGACTCTGGCGTCGACATCAGGGATACAAAGTTCAAAGACTGCGCTTGTGCAAATGGAGTGTTCACACGAGTCAAATTATGCCAGAAACGGAGGGATGGCCGCTCGGGTCCGGCCACCCCGTGCTCAGTCCCTATGGCGTGCTGCACTGGAGCTGAAAATGCAATTCAGCTCGCGGACTGCTTTCTCTTCCAACTTCTAACCAGGGCCTCAAGCCACCCACTCGCCCGCTCCTCGCCCCACCCGACTCACCATGGTGCCGGCGAGGGCGCCGCCCGGGGCAGCCCAGCCCGCTTCACCGCCGGGGACAAGGCGGACCCTCTCGGGAACCGAAAACCCTAATCGCCGACGGGCTGGCCTTCTTGTCGGAAGAATATATGGAAGGACCGGAAGTTAGGTACCGGAAGCGAATGTGGGAAATGGGCAATGCGTCATCGCGCGCGTACGTGAAGTTGAAGCTCGGTTGCCCGGGGTGTGCCGGGTGGCTGGCTTGATCCGGCGAGAAACCCCCTTCCTGGTGTTCAGAGCCGCCGCTGGAGCACGGTATCTGTGTGCGTCGTCGTCGTCGCTTGTCCCACTCGACACCTCCTCGAACGCGCGAGTGCTCACAGCCACTCTGGGCGCTGGAGGGAGTATCGCGGCCCGCTTTGACCAGGTTCCCAACCGGACCGCACTGATGGACCCCGGGGACGCCGGCTGGGTTCTGGCACGGGGATCCGATGCTATCTTCTGACCTCTGCGGGCATTGCACGATACCGTGCAGATATACAGGCAATACACTCATACACATAAAATAAAAAGTTAAAAAAATATAAAAAAAGCCGGGCGTGGTAGCGCAAGCCTTTAGTCCCAGCAGTTGGGAGGCAGAGGCAGGCAGATCTCTTGAGATAGAGGCCAGCCTAGTCTACATACCTAGTTCGAGGCCAGCTAGAGCTAGAGCCCCTGTCCCCTCAAAAGGAAAACCACACAAACAGAAATTATATTTACATAATCTTGCATGGAAGACCTATACAAAATGTTTACCTAAGTGGAATTATCCATAAATTACCCAGAAATATCTTCCAATATTGAGCATCCAAATTTAACCAATTCTTAACCATAAAAGGTCCCCAAAGAGCTTCCGTGATCATATATGGCTGACTCTAATGGTAGGTTATCAAACATCAAGTACTCAGAAACACCCCAAGTCAATGTGCCTCATCCATAAATCTCTGCTGCCTGAGCCAGTTCATGTAAATGGAGTAGAGTGAAGGAAAGAGGTATGTTACAATTTAACAGATAAACATCAGCTCCCTTAGTTTTTGAAACAGCTTACTACCAAAAAGTTTACTAAGTGATTACAAGCAACAGATTTGTAGTAGGACTAAAAGTGGATAGGTGTGGAACGGTTATTTTAGCAGAGCAATCACTAAAACATTTTTTAAAATATGAAAAAAACTGAAACCACAATAAATAAGAGAATTAGCACTAGAGTTGCTCTGACATTCCAGTTCCAAGAGGTGGACTAAGACCTGGAGTTCTCTAATCCAGTAGTTTTCACTCTGGTGACACTAGAACCATCTGGAAGTGTATAAAATACTGATGGCTCCAAACTTTTTCCTGAAATTTTTAAGCCAAATGCCTGTGGTTACAATTTCAGTAAGAGTAATATTAGCAACTTTCTGTAGAGTGATAGAATTTTTGCTTTGAGTTCATGCATGCAGGCATTTCCAGAACTTGTACTTAGCTTTATGCTGTGATTTGCAAACTAATCAACTGGAATACTTTTGATTACATACTTTCGCCTAATTCCATTTAGAATGTACTCAAAATGCTCTAGAAAACTCAAACTTGTAACTTTTGAGTTGGAACATCATGGAGATTTAGACCACCAAACTTCCCTGGCAATCATGTCTGTATGCAACTACCATAAGACTAGAAACACACTCTTGTGTAGTTCTTTCCTAGTTGAAAATATTCCCTCCTGGAGGGAGGCTCTTAAAACTCAGAAAGCTAAAGAAAACAAGGCTCAAAGCTCAGAATTACAAGCTTCTAGAGGCCTATAAGCTGAAAACAAGTGGGGGTGGGGTGGTGGGGGAGAAGTAGACTCTCCAGCCAAGCTACCTGCAGTTTGACAGGGAGTACAGTGGCTTTCATGAATTGTAACCCAGGCTTGTGGTGGGCTTTTCCAGTGATGCAGTGCCTCTGAGCCGCCCCAACTCCTGTAATAAACTCAATAACTTGCCACCCTAGACATTTCTTCGATGTGTCACTGGTACCCTACCTGGAGTAAAGATACATTTTCCACATCTCCCCAGGAATAATCATCCAACACATGTATTTAAACGTTCTGTGGCACACCAAGAACTCAAGGTTTTACCTCTAGTGCTCCAAGTAGCCACTGCAAACAGGCTGTTGTGGGTAATCTGTTTTCCAAGAATTACAGCAGAGTATCTTCCTTTTGAAGTGTTTTGAGATCATAAGAACTTTGGCCTTTTTGGAACATACTAATACATGTACCTTGGAGCCTGAGTCCCAAGTCTAATCAGGACATTGCATTGATTCAAATACACCTTATACACATAGCACAAGTTAATTTTATGCATCTCTACTACAACTGCATTTTGTGCAGTTTTCTACTCATGGCATTGCTGGCAACTCAATTTTTTAAAATATTTATTTTTATGTGTATGTGTGTATTGCCTGCATGCAGGTAAATGCACCCGTGTTGTGCAATGCCCGAGGACAGAAGAGGCTGTTGGATCCCCTGGGACTGGAGTAACCGACAGCCGCCATGTGGGTGCTGGGATTCGAACCCAGGTCTTCTGCAAGAACAGCCAGTGTTCTTGACCGCTGAGCCATCTCTCTAGCCCTTTTTTTTTTTTTTAAATAATTTATCACCTATGTGTCTGGTGCCCTCAGAGACCAGAAGAGGGCATTAAATACTCTGAAACTGAAGTTACAGGGAGTGGTGAGCCACCCAACACTGGTACTGGGAACCAGTTAAATTAGGTCCTCTGGAAGAAAAGCACGTGCTCTTAACCGCTGGGCCATCTCTCCAGCCCCCAGCACCCCAGTATAGGTTCTTGTTTTGACATTGGGTTTTCTTGTAGCCCCAGCTGGCCTAGAACTCACTATGTAGACCAGGCTGGCCTTGATCTGAGCTCCACCTACCTCTATGCCCCCAGGGCTGGAACTAAAGGCATGGACCACTAGGCCTGGCTTCCAAAACAAGTTTTTTTTTGTTTTTTTGGTTTTTTTTTTTCTTCTGTCTTTTTGAGACAGGGTCTCCCTGTAGCCCCAGCTGTCCTGGAACTATGTAGACCAGGCTGGCCTTGAACTCAGAGATCCGCCTGCCTCTGCCTCCCGAGTGCTGGGATTAAAGGCGTGCACCACCACGCCCAGCCCCCAAAACAGGTTTTTAAAGGTATTTATACACTAGAGAGAAAACTTTGTATTTTTTATTTTTATGAGCATTACCCTGCATGTATGTTAAGTGCACCTGTGTCATGCAATGCCCGAGGATGACAGAAGAGGGTTATCAGACCCCATGAACTGGAGTTAGGGATAGTTGTCAGCCACCATGTGTGTTGGGACTCTGCAAGAACAGCCAGCCAGTGCTCTTAAACCACTGAGCCAGCTCTCCAGCCCAAAGAAATTAACTTTAAAAATGTCCTGGTAAACTTGGTGTAGTGTGTGCACCTTTAATCCTAGCACTAAGGCTGAGGTAGGTGGATCTCTGTGAGTTCAAGACCAGCCTGGTCTATTTAGCAAGTTCAAAGCCAGTCAGAGATACTCAGACCCTGTCTCAAAAAAGCAAAACAATTTTAAAGTCATAGTGAGAACACCCAGATCAGTCATTTTCTAAAACTGTTCTACAGAAAAAAAATGTGGGCTGTTATATCACAGAAAAATAAGTGTAGGGGGTGGAGAGGTGGTCAGCGGTTAGTGCTTGCTCTGTAATCCTAAGAACAGGAGCTGAGTGTCTCCAAAAATGCCTGCAATTCCAATTTTGTGGTGGAGGAGAGAGATGAGGGTCACGTGACGGAGGCTTACTGGCTTCCAACCTAACCAAGACATGAGCTTCGTTCAGGAAGAGACTGCTTCAAAAAGGAATAGGTGTAATGATGGACACCCAACATTCTCTTCTGGCTTTGCACACATGCAGACATGCACACAGAAAAAAGAAAAAAAATTAGTTTTTATGTGTATGTGTATTGCCGGCATGTATGTGAGTGCACCCATGTCATGCTTTGCCTTGGAGGTCTGAAGAGGGCTTCGGATTCCCCCGGAACTGGAGTTAAGGATGGTTCATAGCCCGCCATATGGGTGCTGGGAATCCAGCCCAGGTCCCCTGCAAAAGCAGTCAGTGCTCTTAACTGCTGAGCCATCTCTCCGGCCCCAGAAAAAAAATTTTTTTACGAGTAATTTTCTCTGCAGTTGTATTTGACAACTGGGACTTAGTACTTTCTACCTCCTGCTAAGTGGACCATATCACCTTCCAAAGATGTCTCACACTGTGCCAAGGCTAGAAAAATCAAGCGTCCAATCTCCTGGCCCTAGAACTGCTAGATGCAGTTCCTTAGGACGTGATCTATAAACACATTAAAGAAAATACTAGAATTACAGCTAGATTCTTCCAAAGCAAAATCTTCCTAGACACTATCTAGAAACAACTAGTTTGATTGTTCATGTCATTTCAGTATGATCCTACCCTAACATGTCAGCTCAAGGGCCTGTGCTTTTTTTTTTTTTTTCTTTCAAATTAAACCAACCCAGGCCTGGTGGCACATGCCTTTAAGCCCAGGCAGAGGCAGCCTGATCTACAGTGTTCCAGGCCAGCTGGGGCTAGAGGGAGACCCTGTCTCAAAAAAACAGAAACTGTTGGAGAGCTCAGCGGGTAAGAGCACTGATTGCTCTTGCTGAGAACCCGAGTTCAGATCCCAGAACCCACAAGGGGGCTAACAACCATCCCTAGCTCCAATGGATCTGATGTACTCTTCTGACCTCCTCGGAGGTCACATGACACAGGTGCAAATACATGCAATACTTTTTTTTTTTAAGTCAGGCGTGGTGGCGCATGCCTTTAATTCCAGCACAAGGCGGAGGCAGGCAGATCTTTTTGAATTCGAGGCCAACCTGGTCTACATAGTGAGTTCCAGGCCAGCTGGGGCTGCAGGAAGACCCTGTCTCAAATAAGAACCAAAGAAAAAACAAAGTCCTTATCAGTGTCTGCAAAAGTCTACAAAACCAAAATCTGCATGCCTCAATTGTGTAAATTTACAAATTCAACCTGGTATTTGTGAGACAATAAATAAAAGGGGAGGGAAGCACTTGCTACATGCATGGCACACATACAATATAATAAACAGCATTAAAAATTTTAAAAAGGATACTAGCTTGGTGTGGTGGCACAC